TAAAAATGACGATGCTATGCAGTGGAATAAAATAACAAATATCGTTCCCAAGCAGGACGGACGAGGGCAAAAGGGATGTCAGAGGAAGTGTGCTTGAAGAGAAACAATGGCATTGGCATTGCCATTAATGGCTGCCATAATTGATGAAGCGCGTAATTCTATTGGAAGAGAAAAGCAAACATAAAAGAGAGAGGCAAATTGACGAAGAGTTGGATGAAGATGCTAGAATACGTAGGAGAGGAAATTTTAGCACTGTGTACGCTGGGTTCATATTAGGCCTGACGGTCACGCCAGTTTTAGAAGTGTGTGCTGTTAAGCCATTCATTGTTTTCTAAGCATTCAGACTCTCGCTCTTGTGTGTGTGCCAATTTGAGCCATCATGTCGCTTCAATGAAGCATACAGCCGGCGAGCTATACTGAATACCGATTTTCTATGTAATTGAAAGAGCGTTAAAACCAAAAAAAAATAAAATATCAACAAAGTTGGCAAAGCCTTAATGAAAGTGGAAATTGTCGATTATTCCAAACGGATATTGTGGCCACTCACCCTTCAGTCAGCATTAGTAATCAGCCAGCGAGTTCCAAACGCTAAAACTTTAAAATTACTGTGACGCGATTATGGTGCAAGTAGTTTTGGGAGGTTATTGTTGTTGTTACTTTCGTTTTGTTTTCATAACATCTTCTTTCAATTGTGCACTTTCTGAGCAGCTGCTAATCGCTTCAGCGCCCTTGAATGCCAACAGAGACATTTTATTTCTAAATGATTGCTCATTAATTTGCTGAGACGTCGGTCGGTCGGTCGGTGGTGGGACTTTTATGACGTCGTCGGATAAATAGCGGTGTTATGGATGGAATGTCAAAGTGCCCTGAAGTTCAAGGTTAAGTTTATTGTTTGAATTGAATTGTATGGTATTTTTATGTTGGCAAATGCTTTCACTTTATTACAAACTGCTTAACATTATTATTTCAATCGAAAAACAGATTTGAATTAATTTATTCAATTACTTGGTATGTCTTGTTTTTTAATTGTACTAGCACTTTCATTACGATTTTTAAACCGCCATCTCGTACACGAAAGGTTTACCCATAATTAAATTCGAATTTGCTGTCAAAAAAATTTTGCGATTTTTAGTTTTCGAGATATTAGTTGTTCGATTATTCGAACACTGGGTCCATCCGCATTTTTATTCCATTTATTTTAATCTCGTTGCTGCTTCAATCAAGGCAAGCCGGATTTCTAAAAAGGCAACTGAAGCGAAATGACATTAAAATAGAAAAAAAAGAGGGCTGATCTCGGCAGGCAGTTTTATCTCTTTCTTACAGTGTTCCTTTGGCCTGTAGATTTATTCGGTGGGGATCCTTTGATAATCAAACTTATCTCTCAATGTTCCTAACTCCGTTTTCTTCAGAGCCTTCAGTCGAATGATGCAGTCAAGTTTCAATTCGTTAATAAAATCAGAATTCAAGAAGTCCGTAAAGGCCAATAACACTCCTTGGATCGCTGTAATCCTTTTGCGTTGGCTTGTCGTGAAGATGCGTTTCGTACATCTCTATTTTATAATTTTTGTGAGCTTTCTCTACAATGCTAAAAAGCATTTAATAGCAATTACGAGACGAATTATAAAAATCACCTCGACCGTGCGAAAATTAAGAAAATATTATTTTACACGCTGTACATACAGTGCCGGACAAAAGTATTGGCACAGAGAATTTTTCGCAATATATGCAAAGTTTTTTATTCTAATTTATTTTCAATATCTTTAATAAAACTATAGTTCGTACTTCACCAAAAAACATAAAAACAAAATCTCTAAACTTTGTGCAAAACTCAGGAAAATTCAATAAATTTGCATACTAATTTGCAGCTTCTTATTCAGATTTTCTGGAGAAATTCTAAGTATGTAGTTTTATAGCCCAACTAATTTTAGTATGACAAAGTGCAAGTTTGAAGTATCTAAAAAATTGCGTTGATTTTTGGACATTTTTTTAGTAGAAGGTGTTGCTCATTTTCTCCATACCAGAAATAATTGTCGAACATACTTTGTACGGAAGAACCTCACTGAAAAAAAATTGCCAAAAATCAATGCGATTTATTAGCAACTTCAAGCGTGCACTTTGTTGTACTAAAAATAGTTGAGCTATAAAACTGCATACTTTGAATTTTTCTAAAAAATCTGAATAGAAAGTTGCAAATAAGTATGCAAATTTATTGAATTTTCCTAAATTTTGCACAAAATTTAGAGATTTAGTTTTTATGGTTTTTGGTGTAGGACGACCTATATATTTATAAAAAATTATCGAAAATAAATTATAATAAAAAACTTTTCAGATATTGCGAAAAATTCTCTGTGCCAATCCTTTTGTCCGGCACTGTATATGTACGTACAGTTTGGAAATATTAAATCCGAACAATGCGGCTCCTCATAGAGAAAATACGTAGTCCTCAATCAGAATGTGCAGAAGAGCTTTAAAATGTGAGCAATAATAAGGTTGCATTTCTAAACAAGCATTTCGTTAGTGCCACCATTCCGATACTACTACACACGAACATAAACATATTTTACGAACAATGCACGCTAGGCCCTCTAAGCTGCACTCCCAAGCAACTGGCACTCCAACAATATATGCAAGTGTGGGCAAAAAATAACCTACAGCATATACGGCACTTAGTTTCCTTTGACGCCAACGGCATGCTTGAGAAGGCGCTAAAAACTAGGCGGTGCTATTGATGTCGACTTTAGTGCATTAAATATAAAAACAAAAAATAAATGTGAGTATGTATGTGTGCATTTAAAAATACAACAAACTACAAATTAGAATAAAATAGAAATAAGCACTTGCTGCTTTTCAAATAATGCACTCATCTATATATATAAAATTCAAATTATGTATGTACCTATAGACACACTTGGCTCCTA